TTATTTACATTCAATACACAATATACCGTATGAATTTTCATAATTTATTTACTCAAAAGATTTCATTACAATAAATTAAAAAAAACCTAATAATGAAAGGTAAAGAAAAAATACGGAGTAATGGATATAATGGGGAGAAAACACCTCAACCCAGCCCATGGCTCCATAACAAAATAAAAATACCGGATCAGCCCTGCCAAATCAATCCTGAAATAACCTTCTTGAGACTCCTGCCCCCATCAAAATCGGAGACCACTCACAAACACACCGTGTAGTGTAGAACACGAAGGCTTCAATTTCTTAATCAGACTGCATACCAACTCAAAATTGTTTGCATGATGCTTTTTTGTGTATTATATTCTCCTGCTAACAATTTCAAAGAACATTCCATTTTCTCAACCATATATACTTGTTGAAAAAATACTATCCATTTATTACTCTCAAACAATTGAAGTCTCAAATTCTTCAACAATTGAACAAATTAAATTGTTTGGATGGAATATTTATGCATAAATAAAAAGAGTGTATAACTCTATTTTAAATGGGTTAGAGATTACTCGGTCTTACATTGTTTTCGATATTATCAGACATGTAATGGGATTCTCGGTATATCTGATTAATTTGTAGGAAGATCTGAACGTTTAATCTCTATTGGCATCGATGTGCATAGATCTGACAAAGTTTGAGGTAAAATTGTTATTCTTTTTATATCTTTATTTATTGTTATTCTTTTTATATCTTTATTTATATATACTATTTAGTTATAGATAATTGCAATTTAAGTTTTAATATATAATCGAATGTTCCACTTTTAGGAACTTACATTAAAAAAAATTACATTTCATAATCTTTCCAACCAAAACACTCTTTTTGCCTCATTATTACAAAAACGGTGATACTTTTGCTCTCCAGAGAGTTACTTTTATTATAAACATCATCTATTATTCTTGCCATCAAAATCTGTAGTGAGAGTATGATGTGAGTACCTCACAACTTATCATTGTGAGTATATATGACTATATGTTACTCGTATGTATCTAGACATTTTGTAACCTTCAATTGCCTCACTTGATATTCCTCATGTAGTTTGACTATAGCAGATATAGGTCGTATTCTTCATCAAAATATGCATTGTATTATTGCATACAACATGTTAGTTATGGACCACAAACACCATGATGTTAACCATGCCCTGTTAAGATAACTAATCATCAATAATATATGTTGAACGATAAACTCAATTGACAGAAAACTAATATTTAATTCATCAATAATTCACACATGTAGCTAATATATTTACATTAAAATAAAAGCTAATATATTTACATTATATGCATTGGATATATATTTCTATATCTATAAACTTTTGTGACTGTCATCATAACACACATGTATAAGCATATTGGCATGATGTTCTTGCTAATTGCAGGCATAAAAAATACTCCATAGAACTTTAAATGCCAAAAGGGAAAAGAGAAGGAGAAGAAAAGGAATGCTATTTGAGCTCGAAGGCCGAATGGATGTGAGATGTCTGCTGCTGGAGTGGTGCTTTTATACTTGAACGTATCCATTCTAATTGCTCGAAATGGCACGACCAATCCCATTCACTATTCTCACCTCCCTTTTCCACCAATAAGAACAAAGCTAGGTGAACATTGATTAACATCAAGTCAGGATTTTATGTCAACAGTGCTCACCCCCTTTTTAAACCAACAGGAACACACGAAATTTTAATTGAACTATGCACACCTCCTTTTTGGGCCAATAGGAACCGCATAATCACAATACCTTATATCCTGAACGAACCAATACATTTACAATACATTTCTTTGTACGGAGTATTTACTTTGGGAACACTATTTCAAAAATTCTTTTGCTTTTATATTAGAATATATATGATTTATTTGCATGGTTTTTTTAATGATAATAATGCATGGACTTGGGAGGTGTTTATTTCGCTTGGTTTTGCATGAACTGTTGTGCTTAAGCTATAAGACTTGGGAGGTGTTTATTTTGCTGCTAAATTCACAGTTTGGTTAGTAAGACAAGTTAAGTAAACATGCAAGCTGCTTAATAAGATGCTTACTAACCGAAAGAGGTGCTTAAAGTGCCGCTTACTAAGCATACCATCCCCATGTATTAATTAAGCGGCACTTTAAGTTTTCTCAGTTTCCGAATTTACTCTTACCCTTATCCCTTGACCTTACCCTATTGTTACCCTCTACCTACCCCACCATACCTTACCCTGATCCCACTCTGACCCGACCCCCACCCTTACCCCCTACTATACCTACCCCCGGTCCCCCTTACCCCACCTACCCTAACCCTACCCCTTTACCCAGTACCACCTTCCCCTACCTCGACCCTACCTGACCATACCCCCTTACCCCACTCCCACTCATGCCCATTCCCTACCCCGACCCTACCCATTTTACCCCTACCACCTACCCCCACCCCTCCCCACCCCGACCCCCATATTATATTATATTATATACTTGTGTTCATGAATGTTTGTGTGTGTGTGTGTGTGTACAGAGTTATTTTGGATATTTTATTATTAAACAGTGTTTTAAATCTTTTGAACTAAACATGAGCTTACAACACTACTTACTTTATGTGCCGCTTATTAACGCGAGCCTTCATAAGCACCGTTTAGTAACCCGTGAAGTAAACATGTCCTTGGTGTAGTCTTGATTAATGATTATGATACATAGCCTAACTAAGTATGATATGTCGTAGATCATAAGAATGTAATTGGTGGAGTACCCAGAGACTGGACTCTTCTCGAAACTCGAAATATAATTGGTGGAGTACCGAGGGACTGGAGTGTACTCATAACTTGAAATATAATTGGTGGAGTACCCAGGGACTAGATTGTCCTCAAAACTTTATATATAATTGGTGGAGAACCCATGGACTGGACTGTCCTCAAAATTCGGAATTTAATTGGTGGAGTACCTAGGGATTGGATTGTCCTCGAAACTCATAGATTACGGTTTAGTAATTTAGAATCGAGTGGTGTCCTTAAAAATCATGATTGGACAAGGAGGAGTATTATACACTCATATGTATTTGTGTGGGTTTGGGATTTTTAGTCAAGGCCATTGACTATTATGATCTTTACAAGAAAACAATGACCTACGAGTCGGTATTTTCCAAGTGTATATACCTATATGTATTTCAAGACTTGAGGATGATATATAACCATATGTATAACCTTATGTTTGGGTCTTATACTTGGAACGTTAGTTATTCTACATTTAGCTTGCTTCTTTCCAGTACAAGTTGTACTGACCCCTCGGGGGGGGGGGGGGGGGGGGGAGCTACCAATTTTAGGTTGAAGCGAAGGCTTGCTACCTGCAACATCGTACGGGTGAAGCCAACTCAAGGAAGACGTGGTTCGTTCTTTCTTATTTCCTTAAAACTATAAACACTTGCTCATGGATATTTGAAATACTATAAACTATTTTGAGCCTGCAAGCCCATGTTTTAGCCGGATGTAGCCCACAAATTACCGTTGAATATTTCCGCTATTCATTGGTTCAAATGTGATGTTGATATGCATGTTTACTTACTGAGTATGGTATGAACAATGTTCATGGACGCCTTGTATAATCAAGTAAGGTTGACTTGCGGGTGACATCACTTGATTGTGCGGCGATTGTACACACGCTTAAATGCGATGTGAGGTGTGACAAGGACCATGGCAAACACATAATGCAACAAGCAAGTAATTCAAATATGTTAAGCCTAGCTATATATAACCACCAATCAAACCGTTCATAAGAAGCCAGTAGTATGTAGACCATTTTTCGAAATGTATTGAACGTCTATTTTAATTCCAAGCTTAAACTGAAAATCACGATAGCCCAAATGGAAAATCGAAAGGTCGACCAACAACTGTATAGTGAGTTGTTTAGTCTAATTCCCAATTTGGTTTTCAAAATTATTTTTGCGACAAAAGGTTTCTTGTTTGATGAAATGCATGCATATTTTCGAGCTTGTTTATTCAATAATCAATAGTATACAATTATGGGAGTGTTTGCAATTGCTTCTACTTCGAAAAAGTGATTTTTGAAGTGATTTTGCAGAAAGTATTTAATAGTAAAAGTTAGTAGTGTTTAAGAAAAAAGTGGCTTTGAAAAAGTAAAAGTTGGTAGTGTTTGGTAAAATAAGTGCTTTTTGTGTGATGAAAAAGTGAAAACTAGTTTAAAGCACCCTTCTACCTGCTTCCAGTTTTTAGCTTTTAAGTGATTAATTTAAGCAGAAGCTGTCATACAAAAAACACTCATTTCAACTTTTTTAAGCCAAAAGCTGAAAACATTTTTTTAATCTTTAGCAAACACTCCCCATATCCTTGGAGAGAAAAGTCCTAAACCTAAACTAATTCTCCACTCCATCTTCAGTCGATTTATCAGAAATTGAAAAGTACATGTGACCGGGCTGAACTTGCAAGTGTACAAGTGCCGATATAGTAATAATTTCCGGTAAAATACCGGGTCGAATCCACAGGGAAACGTTGTTTAATTTAGTCCGAGAGTAGATAACTTTAAATAAATAAATGAGTAAAGTGCAGGGATTTTGAGTTGTGTGTTGTTGTGAAAACAACAACTTGATTCTTCTTTTTAATTTTCAGAGATATAACTTAAATTAATTTGATTAAAGTGATTGATAACAACAACTAAGGCTTCGGGAATCACTTAAATGCTTTAATAGGGTTGAATATTAGTTCTTTACCAAAAATTATGAATACGATGTCGCTAATATATTCTCAACTCCGGTTAAGGCAGCGAGAGCGTGGTTTTCGTTACGTGTAAGTCCCGTTACGGCTTACATTCATCTACCGAAAACCCCGTTGAATATCAAGACATCACACCCGTATCATATAATACCGGATATATTTCTATTCTCGGTAATATATATGTTTATCCTTTAATGTTCATAGTTTAGACCTCAACGTTAATTGCAAGCATAAACTAAGTTTAACATACTTCTATGTTGTACACCATAGTCATAAACAATCAAAATGTAAAGGATAAATCACAATTTATTGGTTTAGAACTTTTATCAAACACCTAGTGGGCATAGAAGTTCATCCCTAGCCTTAGCTAAGAACTTAGCCTCTAATGCTCATATTAATTACAAAAGTGTAACTAAGATAAAGGAAATACAATAACATACAAGAAATAATACCTAGAACCAATTGTAGAGGAGAGAAATGGCTTCTTCTCCAACACTTCAAGAAAATGTAAAAAGGAAATATAAAAACTGAATTTTTAGCTCCAAAGATGGAATCTCCGCAATGGCCTCCGCAAAAGGTATGTTGATGCTCAATTTCTTGAAAATATCAAGAATTTTCTTGTGTTTCTTCTCATCTCCTTTCTTCTTCAACTTTTGTGGATAGGGGATGGGAGGAACATATTGAGGCATAATAGGTGCCAACGGTGTATGTGAAACCTCTTCTTGTTTCTCCGGTATCTTTCTTCTCCCCGACATCTTGGGGTCCTCCGTTTGTCTCCCACTTCTTGTGGTAATGGCCATGACGCTCTCCCTCGGGTTTACCTCCGTAGTTGTAGGGAATTTGCCTTGCTCTCTAGAACTCATTTTTTTAGCGAGTTGCCCCATTTGAAATTCAAGATTTCGGATTGACGCCTTGGTATATTGCTCAATGGTGTCAATGCGTTGGTTGAGCTTTATATTTTGATCTTCAAAGCGAAGATCCAACTTGTTGAATTGAGAGTGGAGATTCCCAATGGATGCCTCCACTCTACTATGGTTCTCTTCATTTTGAGCCTTCATGCTTTCCATGCTCTTGGATATGAATTGCATCATATCCTCCATGGTGGTTTCCTTGGACGGCCCAAAATTAGGTGCTCCGGATTGGGGTTGTGGCTTCCAATTGCTCCCTTGGTTCCACCTTTGTTGATTAGAAGGATTATTGTTTCCCCGGTTCCCATAAGAGTTCATGAAATTTACCTCTTCAAGATGTTGAGATAAATTGCCTTCCGGACTTTGAATGCTCTCCACATTAGCTATTTGCTTGACTCCTCCCAATACGGCTTGAAGGGCCGTTTGGAATTTTTGCTCAATTTTTGATTCCATTTGTTCAAGCCTTTTGTTAATCTCGGTTGTGATAGAGATTTCATTCATCCCGACCACCTTGTAATCGCCTCCTTGAAGTTGAGGATTTGAGGCAATAGATTCAATGATTCGGAGTGCCTCAGTTTCATTTTTATTTCCAATGTAGCCCTCGGCTCGGTTGTCCACAATGGCTTGACAAGGTGCATTCAAACCATTGTAGAACGTGTCAATTTGAAGGTCTAGGGGAATGCGGTGATGTGGGCATTCCCTTAGCAATGATTTGAAACGCCGCCATGCGTCTTGAAAGAGCTCACCATTTTGTTGTTTGAAATTGAAAATGCGTTGTCTAAGCTCTTGAGTCATGGTGGGCGTGTAGTACTTAGACATGAAGGCATTGTATATACCTTCCCATGTTGTGTAGCTTGCCGGAGCTTGCTCTAGGAACCATCCTCTTGCCGCCCCTTTGAGAGTATAGGGGAAGCATTTGAGCTTGAGTTGATCCTCCGCCAAGCCATTTCTAGGGATTCCTTGAATGAATCCGTAGAACTCCGTGATGAAGTTGAGTGGATTTTCCCCAAGCAAACCATGAAACTGAGGCATAGCGTTGAAGTAGCTTTGCCTTAGCTCATAGTCTCTTGCTTCCTCGCTCAAGGTGATGCAAGATGGCGTAGCGGCCACCACGGGTCTCTTCCTCTCATTCAAAGTTGGCAACATCTTTGTAGCTTTTTGCTCCCTTCGAATGTGTTTGCAAGTTTTTTCTATTTCAAGATCAAGTGGTTCAAGAATTTTAGAACCTTGACCTCTTAATTGCATGCAAACACAAGGGAATATCTACACAAGAAAAAACAAAAATCCTTCCAAGATCAAGTGAAGTTGTGAAAAATAAATTCAGGATTTTTGATTGGTTGATTGTTTGGACTTTATTAAACAAGACCGTTTCCCCGGCAACGGCGCCAAAAACTTGACCGGGCTGAACTTGCAAGTGTACAAGTGCCGATATAGTAATAAATTCCGGTAAAATACCGGGTCGAATCCACAGGGAAACGTTGTTTAATTTAGTCCGCGAGTAGATGACTTTGAATAAGTAAATGAGTAAAGTGCAGGGATTTTGAGTTGTGTGTTGTTGTGAAAACAACAACTTGGTTCTTCTTTTTAATTTTCGGAGATATAACTTGAATTAATTTGATTAAAGTGATTGATAACAACAACTAAGGCTTCGGGAATCACTTAAATGCTTTAATAGGGTTGAATATTAGTTCTTTACCAATAATTATGAATACGATGTCGCTAATATATTCTCAACTCCGGTTAAGGCAGCGAGAGCGTGGTTTTCGTTACGTGTAAGTCCCGTTACGGCTTACATTCATCTACCGAAAACCCCGTTGAATATCAAGACATCACACCCGTATCATATAATACCGGATATATTTCTATTCTCGGTAATATATATGTTTATCCTTTAATGTTCATAGTTTAGACCTCAACGTTAATTGCAAGCATAAACTAAGTTTAACATACTTCTATGTTGTACACCATAGTCATAAACAATCAAAATGTAAAGGATAAATCACAATTTATTGGTTTAGAACTTTTATCAAACACCTAGTGGGCATAGAAGTTCATCCCTAGCCTTAGCTAAGAACTTAGCCTCTAATGCTCATATTAATTACAAAAGTGTAACTAAGATAAAGGAAATACAATAACATACAAGAAATAATACCTAGAACCAATTGTAGAGGAGAGAAATGGCTTCTTCTCCAACACTTCAAGAGAATGCAAAAATAAAATATAAAAAGTGAATTTTTTGCTCCAAGGATGGATTGATGCCCTTGTTTGATGAATTGGGGGCTTTATATAGGCTAAAGATTGACATATATTAGTCTATTCGAGCCCAACAATCAAGCATGGAAGATATATTTGATTAGCTCATGAGGAAGGTGAGTTTTTTCCATCAAAATATTTCAGCACGTTCTTTTGTATTTGCAGGATCAGACCTACCCGGCGTCGGGTTCAGGCCTACCCGGCGCCGGTTCTTCATTGTGCGCAGGGAAATCTGAAATTTTGGCCTACCCGGCGCCGGGTATAAGGCCTACCCGGCGCCGGGTAAGCTACTGGTTTGTGTACATGTGAAAATCAACAAACGAGCGCCGATTTGGTGCAAATTCCGGTGCCGGTTTTGTCCTGGGATTTTGGGGATGTTCCGCTACGAATTTGGACATGATTCCTTCACCAAAGTTGTAGATAATGAAGTCTTCTATCCAACAAAACTTGAATGACATGATTTTATTCAGCCAATCAAGAGATATGGATAAAACACTGAGAGGTATGCATCCTGAAATCCCACCAGCAACATCTGGCTTTGTTGGTTGATTGAGTCTTGTTCCTTTCATATTTTGGTCATGACGTCTTCATAACATTTGTACCTTATTGAGTTAGCATTCACATGAAACTCGAATCGAGTGATTTCGAGTTCTATAGAATACGTTATACTCAAATTATGGGTAGAACGTCATTCTCTTGGTCCAAAAAGTCGTTCATCGCAATGTTTTATGATCAAGCTCTCATTCTGGAGGTATTTGCCCGATTTCTCTTCTTTTCTTCAACAAATACTTATAAATACTTATGTTAAACACAAGTAAATATAACGGCTATCAACATGGATCAGATTCCTCTACACAAAATCAAGAGTATATCGGAAACATTAAGTATATATTTTGACCAACCAAAACAAACTGAAACATTGAGTTGTAGCACATCAAGACTAACATGACCTTCACATTGACTAAATGTCCTTAAAGGCTTCGTTTGATGTACTGAACCATGATTATACTAATGCCAATTAAGCTTATTTTACCGAATAAAAACAAAACAAAAACCCGAAACACTTGTAACCTTCCATTATTGAGCTCTCATGATTATTGATCATCACATATACGGATCGACAGCTTGGAAGAGAACCAAAGCCATCTCAAAAGGAGTGTACTCCGGTTCAACACCACAAAAGTAACCCGGACCTGACACACATGGTTTATCGTGAACTGGTATTATGTTTGTCTTTTCCATTTGAAGAGAGAGTTTGCTTGGAACTTGAAGTTGATTGTTAGCCGACATGGTAGATGTGATGGAACTGTCTCGCACAAGTTGTGGTGAATTCCCACTAAGAGCGATGCTAACCGCTGGTTCGGCCTTTGATAAGAGCCACTCTATGGTCTGACCAGCTGTGCGGTGGCCGAGTATCTGCATGAGATCAAAAACCTGATGGGCACATTCAAGCGGGATCCTAACTCGCCGATCTCGACCGTTTACCTTGCGGTGTCGATCTGAATAGCTCTTTGCATTTACACAAGTGTGCGTTGAGGCTACCATTTTTTGTTGAAAATTATAACTAATGGGAAATTTATATTTATATACATACAAGTGAGGGTAAAAATTTTTGTCAGCAGATATACAAAAGGAAATATAATTATTGTCGTTAAAACATTTAAATCGCAATAAATATATATTCAACTGTAATAATCAATTACGTTGCAACATTCCTTTATTTAGAATAATCTTTATAAAGCGCGTCTAGTTGTAACATGTATTACTTATATCGGTGAAATCTGAGAGCTCGATAATTTAGAATTTCAAAAGCATGTAACCGGGTATAATGAATTGTTTATTGTTTTACCAGTTTAGCACACATGTTTTAAACTAATAGTATGCACATCGAGAGCTCACCGGTAAACCGTTAGTGGTATTGTAGAGAGAAAAGAGAACTAAGAATTAGCATAACTGGATCATTGCGCTTACCGCTACACTTAAAGAAATCACTAATAGTGTAGCACATCTTTCCCCTTTTTATAGCACATGCGAAGCGCCACGTTTCGATTGCACCGGCAAGCTCGCAGATTTCTGGCACCGCATACCCGCGGCCTAACAATCTCCCCCAGCACATGCCGACCTACAACTGCGCAACATGCTGTTGCCGGGGATCGAACCCGTGACCTTGCCTCTGATACCATTTGTGGATCGTTGCTCTTAACGCTATACTAAAAGCAATCACTGATAGTGTAGCACACCCCTCCACTTTTTATATCACAGGCGAAGCGCCACGTTTCGATTGCACTGCAGGCTGGAAGATTGCTGACACCGCATACCCGCGTTCCAACAACATACATATTTTAAATTGATAGTGCATGTGCACATCGAGAGCTCACCGATAAACCGCTAGTGGTATTGTACAGAGAAAAGAGAACTAAGAGTTAGAGAGAGAGAGAGTAAATCTAATAATAAAAGATTTCAAAACTGTTTAAATATACTCCAATGAGGTATTTATAGTACAAATAAATGATAGGTGCATTAAATGTATGAAGTGTGATGTCGTCTAAACTATTCTTCGATTCAGCAGAAGAGTTCAGTGTCCGTGCAAGAAACATCTCAAAGAGCTTGAGCTCCAATTCATCATCTCCGAAGAGGGGCTTGAAAAATACATTTTCACGTGCTGCACGTCCTACCAAATAAGCTCCTCACAAATGTTCTTCATACATGCAAATCCATCTACCAATTCCGTTGTTCCACCGATAAGAGCTCCTCTAATTATCCTAGTTAAAACAGTCAAAGAGACTACATTTTGGAGCGAACTTGGTTCAAACATTCTGAAACAAGAGGTCAAGCCCATGCCCATCTAGATTCCATCAAAAGACTCATTTTAGAGGTGGTATCAGACTTCATACATTTTGAGCAAGAGCAACTTCTGGAAGATTATGATTTCATGCAACATTTTGAATGCCCTTCTGAAATAATCAAAGTGGAGCTCGTTTGAAAGAAATGGGAGACTGATACACTCCGCCATCAAGGAAAGATTGCTAGGATTCAAGGAAGACTAGATGACTTGTGCATCTATGAAGTTTTAACATGAAGAGGGAGCCCGTCAACACAAAGACAAAGATAAACCGCGCTGCAATGCAAATTGACACAAACACGAAGATTGTTAGAAATTATTTTATTGTGTCCAATTGCATTAGTTATCTTTGTATTAGTTATTGGGCCTTGTATTTATTTAGAACATTTAGTATTTATTATGTATTTATTTAATTAATAACAAAAAAATGGTATGTCACTTTCCTATGGGTCGACTCACAATCCTTAGCAGTGTAATGGGATATCAAACACATAGGTGCATGTATCCCATACTGACTGAGTCGATCAGTAAGTTTGGCCAGGCTGAATATTCCCTCCATACATTCTAGAGAGAAGGGAGAGTCGCTTTTTTCACATCCCCTATACAGTGCCGATCCTACACAAACTCGGGCCTGAGTCGAGTTTGATAAAACCTACATGAGTTTGAAACACAACATATTTGAAAATAAAAGATTAAAACCTAGATTTTTTGGAAATAAATATCAACAAAGTCGAAAGTTGAGGTTTGTACTTCATTAGCGGATAATTTACTTCATTAGCGGAAATAAATATCAACAAATATCAACTACTTGATTGATAATTCTGTTGTTCCTCTGATTTTTTACTTCATTAGCGGATAATTTAAGCCAAACAGTCAACATGTAGTCTCCATATTTTTATTTTTGAATACATATACTCCCTCCGTCCTTAAATGGATGTCCCAAAATTAACTTCACGCTTGAATACTTTCCTTATTTGACAAATTATTTTCATCAAAACCGTGCCAAACAGTGTCAAACAGTGTCCAAACAGTGTTTAAACAGTGCAAAACAGTGCACTCTACAGTAAAGTCAAATTTATTTTCTTAATCTGTGTGATTGTCAAACTGTGAAGTTATTTTTGGGACGAAGGGAGTATATAATAGATAGATGATAGTTAGGGGCCCCTAATTTTTAAATTTTTTTAGGGCCCTGAGGCCCATGCCTCTCCAGCCTAAAGGAAGGCACGGCTCTGCCCCTATACGTTCATCGTCATATCATTTTGGTATTGAATCCAAGCTTAAATTTTCTCTATTCTTGTTTTATTTATCTGATAGTTGGATACACTGATCGTTTGACAAACTTTATGTTTGAAAACTCTTATTTTGAGGTGTGTAATCGATTGATATAAGTTTCAGTTCAGGAATGTGAAGTTGTGCAGGTGTTTGAATTTTCGTGAAACTGTAAACCTGTTTAGTATTTGAATCGTATATTTTGTTGTAATCATTATTTGGAGTGGATTTTGTGATAACAATTGTAGCTCTTAAAGAGACATATCTACAACATTTTGAATCATCAAATTTGGTTTAGTCAATCAAAAGTTACGAAATTCACAAACCTGGAGTTTTCGTAAAACAACGAGTTTTCATAAAACATGTTTTTCACAAAACTTTCAAATTTCATGAAAAAATAGGTTTTCGTGAAAAAGTGAGTTTTCGTGAAAAACACCGTTTTCATGAAAAGTATGTTTTCGTGAAAAAGTAAGTTTTCATGAAACTTAATTTTTTTCGTGAAACTTATTAGGAAGTATTTTATTGTGTCAAATTGCATTAGTTATCATTGTATTTGTGTATTTTATTTAGCTATTGGACCTTGTATTTATTTAGCCCATTTATTATTCATTATGCATTTAGTCAATTAATAATAAGAAAGTGGTACTCCGTATTTGACTTTCCTTATTGTCGGCTCACAATCCTTAGCACCGTACTGGGATATCAAACACATATGAGTATGTATCCCAAATTCGATTGAGCACATAAAAAAGTTTGGCTAAGTTGAATATTGCATTTGTACATTCTAGAGAGATGGGAGTGTCGTTTTCACACCCCATGTATGTTCATCGTCATATCATTCTAGTATAGAAGTCAAAGTTTTACTCCTCTCTATTCTTGTTAATATATATCTAATTGTTGGATCAATAACCATGACTATTTGTTTCTTAAATATTAAACCTGCATTTTCGAATGACATAAACTAAGCATTGTTAACATATCAGCTTCCACATTTCCTCAAGCTC